GACACACACGCCCCCCTCCCCCAACCAGCCCCAGCCACCCTCCATAGCATCAGGAACAAGAAAGAGGGCAACGGGTAACAAATCCACAAAGAAAAACAACCCTGGCACAGCTGTGCCCCACAACTACCTGCCTACATCAAACAAATCTGCCGTACTCCGATAGCCATATCGGAGTACGACAGTGTTTTGATGCCCCTCGTAAAACACATAAGAGCCCCCAGCCTCCCTCCCGTCTTACCTCCATTCCCGGCTGGACGTCGGCCCCATCTTCCGAGGCCTGCGGCACGTGCAGGACGTGGATGGGAACATGACAATTAAGGCAGGCACGTCGACGACGGCAGCGAAACACACACGCCCCCCTCCCCCAACCAGCCCCAGCCACCCTCCATAGCATCAGGAACAAGAAAGAGGGCAACGGGTAACAAATCCACAAAGAAAAACAACCCTGGCACAGCTGTGCCCCACAACTACCTGCCTACATCAAACAAATATGCCGTACTCCAATAGCCATATCGGAGTACGACAGTGTTTTGATGTTCCCACATAAAACACATAAGAGCCCCGAGCCTCCCTCCCATCTTACCTCCATTCCCGGCTGGACGTCGGCCCCATCTTCCGAGGCCTGCGGCACGTGCAGGACGTGGATGGGAACATGACAATTAGGGCAGGCACGTCGATGACGGCAGCGAAACACACACGCCCCCCTCCCCCAACCAGCCCCAGCCACCCTCCATAGCATCAGGAACAAGGAAGAGGGCAACGGGTAACGAATCCACAAGGAAAAACAACCCTGGCACAGATGTGCCCCACAACTACCTGCCTGCATCAAACAAATCTGCCGTACTCCGATAGCCATATCGGAGTACGACAGTGTTTTGATGCCCCACATAAAACATATAACAGCCCCGACCCTCCCTCCCATCTTACCTCTCCAAGCGAGCCCAATTCCTCCTCACGGTGGCCACCCGCCTCCATTCCCGGCTGGACGTCAGCCAAGGATAACTAAAGCTAGTTCAGCGACAGTGAGTGGCGGTGAGTTCTATTTTAACGTTGCTACAAGGCATACTAAAATGTAACACAAATCCCTTATCCCAATGGAAGCTGTTCCGAATTCCTTCTCACTTGAAGCGGTTCCGCGGCCGATTAGCAACCAGAGGTCGGCAAATCCGGTGGGTCCTGCGGGTCCGTAACACAGTACCCGCAGCCGAAATTCGGCTTAAGGCCCCGGCTGCGGGACCCAAATGACCAAAATTCGACCGAAAGACGTGATTGAAGCCTCTATTGCAGCCCGTAGGGCCGCGCGCTGGACTCGAACTCTGTGTTTGACTTTGTAAAAGAATGTCACGACCACCTCTACACAATTCGGTGACGGTTATCACTGATACATTATTACATTTCTAGCGTCTGTACCGATGACTTGCAGCTGCCGCAGCACTTGACTTGGTCAATTGTGGACTTTGGCATACCAGATATTGGTCCCATGTGGCCTATCCTATGCATAATCTTCATCATATTGCTTGTATTTTCAGCATACTTTTAACTGCTGACCGCGGCATCTCGCCGGGGAACGAAGGAAACGCGTGCAGAAATTTCCAGCGGTCGACAACGCACGTTGGCCGGCATGCTGACCGGTCGTAAAGCCACTGCTGATCCCCCAGCAACATATATTGAGGCGGAAGAGCCGTTACTTGGGCCATCGGGCAGCGCCAGTGAAGCTCTCCAGGTCTACTTTTCCCAGCACCACCACCTCCCACCTCCGGAAACGCCAGCACCGTGGCCCTTCCTCCACAGAAGAAAAGGCACACTCAAGCCAACACTGCCTCCACCGGTCCCAGTCAGCAGCCAGCACCTCTCCTGCCCACCACCCCCAACACCACCGCTACGAACAGCAGCCGGCAACACTCCTGCCCCCCGCCACCCCCAATGCCACCGCCAACCTGCAACGGAAGCGCACCAAGTCCACCAATAAGATCGATGCCGTTGGTGTCCCCCCGGGGTTTGAGCGGCCTCGTAATCCCAACGAGGACATTATTTGGCTGACTGACACTTGTGGTGGTGATTTCAAGAGCTGGGCCTATGCACTTCAGGGCTCGACGACGGTCATCTGTTTTTTTGCGACACACATAAGGAGAGTAACGCCACCATTTCCCGCACGAACTGGGATTGCTCAGCTTACACCCGGCACGAGGCCTCCTACTCCCACAAAGCGGCTGTAGTCCAGTACACGCAGGATCAGCAGCAACAGCAAACTGACAAGCACCTGGCCATGACCGAGGTTGCCGACAATCCCTTGTTGGCTCTGTTTTGTGGCGCATACATGGTCCTGTACCAAGCCATGCCTTTCACTCACTTCCCAACGATCTGTGAATACATGGACTGGCTTAAAGTACCAAACATCACCGGCTTAAGTTCAACGAAGGTCTTTTTGTGAAGCTGAGTATGTCGGGTCCTTGAAGAAGGAGGATGCAATGTTGAAGGGGGCGATGGCCAAGTACAAGTCCTCCACTAGGATGCACCTTACACGCATATCACCGATAAGGTCGAGAATATCCTTCACGCCCCGCGCTTCAACCGCATGCGGTCGGCGATGAATAGCTCGGGGGCGATGCTAACTTCATGGCGCAAGAACTTGCTTGGCAACGAACCCTTGCCCCCCCTGCAATGTGTACGGAACGTGGAGCCCTGAAATGCTGTCTCTTTTGGCGCCGGAAGGCGCCAAAATTTTTTTAGGTTTATTGACCGAAATTATGCCCTCCCGCAGCCGTAGAAACCGATTTGCCGACCTCTGAACATGATTGAGAACTTGTACGGCGTGGCAGAATTTGCGGCGATGCTGACCATGGACCTGGCTACGGCATATCGGGGTCTATCGTTGCTGCCTGCCGTACTTGACAGAAATGACACGCAGGGCACGGCAAGAACACATGCCATCATATCTGGTTGAGGTTGAGAACCATTCCGGTTACCGATCAACAGCAGACGTACGCGGATAGTTATCACAGCTACGTTAGCACATACATTCCCCAAACATGCGGGAATCCTTGCCGCTGAACTGAAATCTCTCAATTTCTCTATCTCTCGCCCAGTACCGGTATACCAATGTTTCCACAATTGCACGGTTCGGAACAAATAGTGCAGATAAATGCAATAATTCGGCCACCATTATGGCTGCCACGGTTTGGCGTGCAGGGGTTGGTGCTGGCTGGCTGGCTGGCTGGCTGGCTGGCTGGCTCCTTTGTGCAATCTGGTCTTCTTATCGATAAGCCAGCAAACCGGCACGATGAGCGGCCGCGGTCGGGACCTTGGTCGACGCAATTGCTATGCGTGGTAATGTGCAGGGCCAAGCACGGCGAGTAAACGCCGCTATAAACCATTTTTCACTGGTGAAGAGCCTGTATACAGTAAGCCTTACCTTGCTTGGCCTG